GAGGCGTGTTCTGGCCTCTACCACCCGGGGCCCATGGGGGGGCTGCGCAGAGAGGGCTGGCTCGCCACATTCCCCCAGGCTGGAGCAGACAGCACGAGGCCCTGCGGGAACAACTTGGGGCAGAACAGCCCGTCCGGGACACCCACCCCCTGGTTCACACTGGCCAAGGACCCAGACTGACAAATGATTCAGATATACAAACACCCTGGGGGAAGCACAGCATTGCCCAGGGCCATTGGGTGAGCCAGCAGCTCAGGAGCGAAGACCTCCAGCGGCAACTGGGAGCAGTACTGGTGAGAGGGGTCTTCCTCCTGTACCTCCCCCAGCCTCAATCGTCGACCTCAGTTGCCTGAAATGGTGTATGGACCCCATCCCACGTTTGAGCACTGGCTCTATACCAGACTTACAGACCTGGATTTTCACTCTTCAAGTCTTGTGAAGGTCCTGTCTTCACAGGAGGAAACTGGGTCTCTGGGGGTTAATTACAGGTGATGTCACCAGCTGGCCCACCCAAGCTTACATACTAGTCACTGTAAGTCCTCATCAACGCTACAGCAATGGCTGCTGGCCTCCACCCCCAGCCTGTGGGCTGCAGAAGCACCCTGTGCTCCAATGCCAGACCTCTCCCCAACTTCCAACACCCCCTCTGCACAGTCTGCTCTTGCCTCGGCCAGCCCTGTCTAATAAATCAGACCCAACTGGCAACCCAGCCCCGTGGTGTCAAATCTATTTTTAGCTGTGACCCTTCACCTCCTGCGAAGACTTACACCTGCCCTGCAGTGGGAGTTTCCAGCCAGCTGCCCCTGGGGAGGGCCGAGCACTGCGTGGTCAGCCCTGGGCCATCTCTGCCTGGCCCCCACAGTGGGCGGCTGCTCGCTCTGGCTCAGTTGCAGGCTGGAGGGCAGGTTCTCTCTCGTAGGGCTGTGTTTTGCAGGGCTGCCTCAGGCCCCAGGTACTCATGGTACCTCCTTCCTGCCCCTCTTTCTTCTTCTCACTGTCCCCCCCACCCTCCGCGCTGTCCTGCTTTTAGCCTTTTGAGTAGCAGGATACACTCACGGCTGTTTCCAGAGTCCCTTGCCCCTCCCTTCATAAATAAGTCAGGTCCATCCCCCCCAGTTTCCTCGTGGTCTAGCCCACGCTGCTCACTGTGGTGGTCATGGCCATACGTGCCTGCTGAGCACTTGAAATGCAGCAAGTCAGAACTAAGACAAGTTCTAAGTGTAAAATACACACTGGTTTTTAAGACTTGGTACAAAAAAGAATGCGAAATATCTCACTACCAAGTTTTATACAGATTACATGTCGGAGGGATAATATTTTGGATATATTAGGTTAGATACAACATATTAAAATTAATTTTCCTTTTTTTTTCTTTTATTTAATGCGGCATCTAGAAAATTTTAGATCAGGGGAAGGATCCGGCCTCGATGCCCGCAGCTGGGTCTCACAGCTGCAGGATGATGGGTGGAGGAAGGTGTGTGGAAGGGTCCTTGGCTCTGCCTTGCTGTTGATTCTCTCCTGGCGTATCTAAGCTCAAGGGATATTCTCCCCAGCCAGCACTCATCTCCTTCCCAAACCTCAGCTTGGTCTGGGAGAAACCACACTCCCCTGTTAGCAGACAGTGGCCCATCCCTGTGTGGCTGGCAGACCAACCAGCACTCTCACGGCAGTGTACATGATGAGAGCAGAGCCTTCTAGAGCAGAGCAGGGGTCCCGGATCTGCCTGAGCTCTTCCCAGGCCAGCCCCCAGCCCTGTCCAAGTCTGTCCCCGGCTGGTCCAGGGTCCCATGAAGACAGCATGGATTCAGTGGGTGATGGGACCGTGTGTGGACAAAGGAGAACCCAGAAACCACACACCAGGGATTCTGGGGTTCTGTCCATGTCAGCAGCCTCTGTCCCCATATCCTGGAGGGCACACACATCTGTGCTTATTATCTAACACTCTGGGTCTGAACCAGTAGTGCCAGGGACTCTGGAGGAGACAGAAACGTGTCCATCTTCAAATTGCCTTCAATGGTGGCCAGGCCAGTGGGGGTGAGATAAAGTCCCCAAGCCCAGCCCAGGGGACCACGCCAAGAGAGTCCTAGGAGCAGGATGCAGGGGTGCAGACCTCGAGGGACAGAGGCTGGGAAACGCCAAAACCACACACCTCGCCAACAAAGGCCCATCACCCCGCCTCCCAGGACAAATCTAGGGGCTGAGGAGCAGCTCCACTGGGGCTGGGGAGGCCAGCAAGAGGAAGGCAGAGTGGATAAGCTGGCTTCCGCAGGGCCTTGAAGGCCACACCCAGATGTCTGGACTTTATCCAGAGACAACTGAGGGTTTCCGGGCAAAGCAATGGCACTGTGTGGAGAGTGATGGTTCTAGCCTTCCTAAACTGGTACATGGGGGTGGGGGTGAGGGGACAGAGACTGTGTGTGAGTGACTTACCTGGGTGTCCCCGGGCCGGCATCGAGCCGGGGAGCCAGAGCTCATCAGCATTTAGACGCACCTGCAGCTCTCTGTGGGCAGTCTATGTGCATGGCCCTGTTTAATCCATACAGCTGTGCAGGGAGGCAGGCACAGAGCAAGGTAGGACTGCTGGGCTCCTTGAATAAAGTCGTGAATGAATGAATGAATGTTGGTTGATGGCTGTAATCCCCGTCCTGACAATATATATTGAAGGCATTGGATTAAATTGCACTTGATTGTTTAATCAGTTTGATCCTGGGTTGGGGCCCCGTTTGAGGGGTACAGAAGCCTTATTGAACACGTGTTAGTGGGGCAGCTACAATGAACAGTGGGTGCAGAGGAGAAGGGGGGGCACAGGATGGGGGCAGGATGCAGACCCTGACAGGGAGGAGTCTGGCCCAGCAGCCTCAAATCTACCCCTGCAAAAGCCCCTGCACACCTCTCCCGGATCCCCCCAGCAGCCCGCCCCTGCTGGCTCCAGCCTATTTCCCTGTCCTGGAACTAATAAAGACTCCAAGCAGACTGCGGTTTTCAAGTCTGAAAGCCAGTTCCTGCCTACGTCACTGCCACGAGAGGAATGGGGCCCAGAGCCTCCCCAGACCCCAGGGAGGAGGCAGGAGCACAGATGCACCCCGACCTCCCCTTCTCCCCAGCAGGCATATCCCAAGCACAGCCCCTGCCCCCACACAGCAAGGGCTGCTTGGGGGCTTTAGACCCTCATAATCTCTACCAGCTACCCCCAAAGCTACACTGTTAAGCACAAGTTGTACATTTCCTATGCAAATACAGCTTTAAGACAGTTCTCCTAGAATGCCACTGCACCCCCTAATTCCGAAATCTGGAGCCACTACCACTTGCGACCAGGGAAAGAAAGGGCCCCAGAGTAGCCCAGCACACAGCCAAGAGGAGTGGGGACACTAAAGTCAGGAGTGGAACTTGCAGAACTTGGTGACAGTAATAGTACTCGTGCGGCATGATTAGAGGGCATTTTTGATCTGACAGCACAGTACAGAAATATGTGACCACATTATACTTATCTTGGCAATAAACCTAGATAGGGATAATTTTCACCATTTGACAGATAAGGGAACTGAAGCTCGGTGGAGAGGTTACCCAGCTAGAAAGTGCTACAGCCACAATTTAGTCCAGGGTCCCCCTGAGTCCAAAGTCTGGTCTCTGGCCTCTCCACTCCTGGCCACCCCTGACAGCACTCCAGGCTCCCACAGTGCTCTGAGCCATTGCCCCCGCCCCATTTTCACAGGCCCCAGAACCAGTCCCTCCCTTGTTCTCCATCTCAGTACAGGAAGAAGCATGCACAACATGTCGTCTCTACTTCTTCCACTGGCTGTCACCTAGGCAAATACCAGCTTCCCTCTCCCAGCTTCTGCCTCCAAAATTTCTTCCATGCTAGCCTGGGGGCATGAGTGCCTTCTCCCTTCCCAGGCAAAGCCCAGGGTCCTCCATCCTGAGCAGGCAGGCAGAACGGGCACCTGGAATTCTCCTGGAAATGCTGGGCCCCGCTGTTTCAGCGCAGGGCCGCCCCCTCCTGGCCACCAGAGGAATGTTGCCCCAGGCATTCCCAGAGGGCCCCAGAGGTAGCCAGTAGTCTGGGGCTTCCAGGTCTGTCGGGGTGCTAGTGGTGTCCAGCGATAGGATAGGTGGTGGTCAAGTGAGAAAGAGGGGACTGGGCCACCTATCAGTCATTGTGGGGCTCCCCATCCCCCAGCTCCTCCCACAGGGTGCTGGGGGTCCAGGCTGACCTTCACTAAACACTACAGCCTGCATAGGGCTAGGTGTGGGGCTGAGATATTGACTCGTGCAGAACTAAGACCCTGCAGTGTGTCAGGGTCTCCCATCGTCCCCCAGGTGCCCCAGGGAACAACAGCAACATGGCCTTACCTCCTGGGTGGTGTCCCTGCCTGCAGCACCTCAGCCTCTGCGGACACTGACCTCTAGACCTGCCCGACACCCCCTTCCCAGTTCGGGCCACGGCCTGTCTCTATACAGGCCTGGGGGTGTTGGGGAGTCTAGCTGGCCTAGGTGGGGGCACAGGCGTGGGACAGCTGGCCTGTGTCCCCACCCTCGGCCCGGGGCCCAGCCAGAGGGGCGGAGGCCTAGCCACTCAGGCCTTGGCTGGGGCTGGGATTTTTGGCTGGGCTGCCAGGCCCTCCCTCCTGCTTCCTCTCCTGAGGGCTGTCCTGGCAGAGGCCCCCCTTGCATTTTCTGGTGGGAACGGGGCCAACAGCTCGAGAACAGCCACAGAGGGAGAGAGAGAGAGCAATGGGGAAAACTGTGTGTGTGGGGGGGGGGGGCGCGCGCGCGCACGCGTGCACCCGCCGCGTATGAATGTGTGTGTGTTTTAAGGAAAAAAGCCCACAGTCCAGTCAGACCCAGCCGGAGGCTGTGAGCCGGGCCTTTCGTAATTGCCCCCTCCCCGTGGCCCCCTCCCCCGGCCTCCCCCTTCTCCTGCCCTCCAGCCCGCCCTCTCTCCCTCCCTCCTTCCCTTTCAGCCGAGGAGGCAGCAATTACTCTTTGGGGATAAAACGGGGAGCAGAGAGCAGGCTGGGGCATTTCTCCCCGAGATGGCGGGTCTGACAGCTGCAACCCTGCGGCCCGGAGTGCTTCTGCTCCTGCTGTCCACCCTGCACCCAGCACAGCCCGGAGGTAAGGACCCCACACCCAGTTCTGGCGCTGTCTACAGCCCTCAGGCCCTCTCAGGCATGTGGCCGGACTGACTGGAGGGGGCCTGGCAGATGAGAAGGGGCCCTTCATCCCAGGGGTCCCCAGGGGCTCCTAGGCAGGAACCTCTCAGCCCCCGGATCCTTGGAACTACCCCTTCTGAGAGCTACCCCAGTCCTGAGGAGGAACCTGTCACACAGACGCCCATGTCCACATTTGGCTGCCCTGAGAGGGTGCAGGGCCCAGCTGCCCTGGGTGCACCCCGGGTGGGGGAGGTGCAGCATGCTGGGGAGGGCCTGGCGGGGTCCCACTGGGTCTGCAGGCACAGGCAGTTCACACACCTCTGGGCCCAGTTGGGTGTGCATGTGTGCATGGGGACCAGGGGATCTGGGTTCGACCAGTTCAGCCACAGCAAGCTGTGTGACCCCAGCAGGTTCCTTGCCCCCCGGGAAGTCAGGATCTCCCTCTGAGGAAGGCCAGGGTTAAACTGACCATGGGATTGCAGGCTGGAGGCTGCTGCTGTGGTCTGTCGCAGGGCTGGGGCTTCTGACGGAGAGTGTGGGGTGCTGTTGCACAGGTGTACATGCGTGCTGGGTGTGGCCAGTGTGTATATGCCCAAGTATGTCACTGGATGGGGAGGGGTGTCTGAGAGGGTATGATGTCTGTTCACGGCTCGTCACTGAACGGTGGCTGGGGGGGGAGGTCCGTGAAGGTACCTGTTGGCGTGTGCAAAAGTCTTCCACCGACAAGCACGTGTGCGTGGGAAATTAGGTTACTGCTCTGGGGTCCTAGTGTGTCATCAGATGTGGGTTGTCAGTGTGCATGTGACTGTGTGTGTGTGTGTGTGTGTGTGTGTGTGTATGATGGAATGACGGCAAGGAAAGCAAAGCTGGGGAAGGTGTCATCTCCTGTAGAGGGTGTAGAGCCAGTGCAGAGGCTGGAGAGGCCTTGGGGGCAGTGCTGGACCTTTGCCATGTGTCCTGACCTCGGCCAGCTGGTCATCAGGCTAGAAGGTGCTATCTGGGAGCCGCTATACAGCTCAGGGGGGTGTTGGGTGTGGCATCCTGAGATGCATCCTGGCCATGGGAAAAGAGAGGTGCAGGCTGAGTCATTTGGGGTGTATCCTGGGAGAGGTCTGGTTTCCTTGGGAGTCCTCTTTGCCATGAGAACCAGACTTTAAGTGGGGGGCACAAGCCCAGGCTAGTGGGCTGGAGTCAGGGGGCTGGGCCAGAGCAGCAGCTGTTTCCGTGAGATTGACCGGCTAAGCAGGACTGCTGGGAGCAGGGGCTTCCTGTGCAAGGTCACCTCCCAGGCCTGGTTGAGGCTTAGGGACATGGGCACCAAGAGGCGGCGTCTGGCGGGGGCAGAGAGGCAGTCCCAGGGGCCCGGCTGCCACAGTTCCCCAGAGCACTCCAGGCCTGTCTGAACCACTCCACCTGGGGGTGGCTCCCAGACAGTGCCTCCACCTAGGGGATGGCACTTCATTCTCACAAACACCCCGAGAGCTGGGAATTATGATCTCTGCTTTTAAAATGGGGAAACTGAGGCTCAGGAAGTTTCTGCAGCCCAGGAGGTTATTCTCAGCCAGCTCTCTGCCTGGGCCAAGCTCACAGGCAGCATTTGGGGAGTGGCAGGCAAAGGGCTGCGTTCTTTAAGGAGGCACGCCCTAGAGCAGAGGAAGCAGCCTCCTGTGTCCTCAGGGACAATGTCAGACGCTCAGCTCCGTCCCAGGGGCGGGAGTAGCTGGGTCTAAACAACGGGCTTGTGAATTGATGAATTTTGAAGTTTGCACAGTCTCCTGAAGTCTGGAGCTGGACGCGCCTCAGTCTCACACACACACACAAACACACACACACACACACAAACACACACACACACGCTACCCACCTGGCTGGGGGTTGTCACTTACATAAATGCACCAGCTCTGAGGGACCATGTTGCCACAGAGGCAAGAAAGTAGACTTCCCTGGAAGCCTTGATGAGGCAGTGGATTGACTAGACCCATTTAGGATGGGTGAAAAGCAGCTTTGTGGATTTAAAAAAAAAAAAAAACGAAACCCACTGCCGTGAAATCAATTCCGACTCATAGCGACCCCGTAGGACAGAGTAGAACTGCCCCAAAGGGTTTCCAAGGAGCACCTGGTGGATTCAAACTGTCGACTTTTTGTTTAGCGGCCGTAGCACTTAACTGCTATGCCACCAGCATTTCCAGCTTTGAGGATAAGCTGCCCCAAACTCCTATGCTGTTAAAAAAAGAGAAAAAAAAACTAAATCAGGGATAATTGTCTCCCAAGGCCCTAGAAATGTTATTAGCTTCTTTTTTTTTCTGATCTTAGAACTTGAGATAGTTTGGAGAGAGGGGTTTTCAACCCTCACTGCACATTAGAGTTACCGGGGGAACTTTAAACAATTCTGAAACTGGGGTCCCACCCAAGAACCCCTGCTCTATTAGCCTGGGGAAGGGGCTGGGCACAGGGCTGACAGCCTCTGATTTCCAGGTGGGTCCTGTCTGCTGGGGCCGCCGCAGGAGGGCAAACATCCTGGGTGGTGGGAGGGAGACCGAGTCACCCACCAGAAGGACAGATTGTTTTTGCAAAACCCTTGGCAGCCTTTCTGCTGCAAACAGCAAACAGCTTCATGTGCTCTTATCTGCTCCCCAAAGCAGCCCCCTGGACTTTGGTTTGGCACAACCCCCTGCCAAGGCCCAATGGCCGGCGATTCGCTCCCAAACGGCCTGCACCCAGATCCTTGAACCTGGAGCCCAGGGCCTGGGCAGAGGGCCCTGCGGGTGACTGGGGTCAGCTGTGAGTCCCAAGCCAGGTGCTTCATCTCTCTGGTCTCAGTTCCCCACCACCACCACCACCCACCCCCACCCTGGCTGTAAAATGGAAAGAAACACCCCTGTCCTACTTAGCTCCGAGGGCTGGTGGGAGCCTGTAGTAATGTCACATCTGCAAAAATGTGTCAAATAAGGGACTATGGGAATGTTAACTTGGGCTGATGGACCCTTGCCACTTGTCCACATTCTAAGGTTTAAGGCCCTCGCTCACTATTCACACCACGTTGTGTCTAGTGGGGGGGCAGTTGATGAACAGACATGCAGGGGTAGAGGAAACAGACAGGACTGCAGGAGAAGGTGGCCTGGAGGAGTCCCAGGAAATCCAGAAAAGCTTCCCAGCATAAGGACATTTGCATTAGACCTTGAGAGAAACGAAAGAAATGGGCGCAAGCTGAGGTTCTGAGTGGCAGGACAGGAGAGACAGAGGAGCAGGAGCAGATTTCATATGAGTAGGAGGACCTTCCTGCAGGCAGAGCTGATAGCACTGGGAGGTGGTGAGTTTCCTGTCACTGGAGGTATGCAAGCAGGAGCACAAGGGGATGTTTGCACAAGGTCTTCCAGAAAACTGTCACGATCCTGAGATCCAGGATCAGGATTCTAAGATTCAAGATGCAAGTTCCACCCTGGGCTAGTTGGTGGATCAAGCCAAACCCTCATAAAACAAAACAAGCATGCTCCAGGCCAGCTGCTGTGGGCCAACTGTGCAGCGCAGTCACTGAGAGGCACCAGCTCCGGGAGGCAGGAGGCCGAATTCGGGCTCAGTCCTGGTGGAAGGGGAGGATTTGGATAGAGGAGCCGGCCTTTCCGGCGGGAGGTGTGGGCGAGGAAATGAGGATGACTCATTGGGGCACACAGGAGGTGGCTATCTTTCTGAAGACCCGTTATCAACTACAGCCTCGTTTTATTCTTGCTTCCCCTGCACTTCAAGAGAGGCGGGCAGGGCAGGGGTCCTTTGCACCCACTAAGCCTTCTCCATGTCCTCAGGGCAGAATGGGGTTAAAAGCTCTAGCTCCCCAGGCTGTCGGGGTTCAGGCCCAGGGCTTGGCAAGCACGTTCGGGATCTGAACTGAGAGGGTGGCAAGTGGGCAGAGATGGTCAGGCACTAGGGAGAGGGGAAGCAGAGGAGGAGCTGGCAGCCTGGGAAAGGAGGGCATGGGGGAGAAGCCCCCCACAAGAAAGGACGTGAGGGCTCAGCCAGGCCAACAGCAAGATCCCAAGGTAGCTGGGGATGGAACAGTTCAGACCCAGACATGCCCCACAGGCAGTATCCCTGCCTCCCCTCCACCTAATTCACCCATCCTTTCAGAGCACCTTGTCTCTACCTGGCCCCGGGCCACGAAGTGCACAGGCAAGTGGGGTCACTACAAAGGGTCACCATCATTTTTCTTAGCAACTCCTGTGTGTCAGGCCCAGAACAGGACAGTCTCCTGCTGAATCCCTTTGACAGCTCACAGCAGCCTGGTCAGGCCTGCATTGCAAACGAGGGAACGCAAGCTCAAAGAGGTTAAAACGGTAAGAAGCAACAAAGCCAGAACTAGAAGCCAAATGGGTCTGCCCTGAGCCCTGTGCTCCTTTCACCCATCACGCTGTTCCCTGCAGTCTGCCCTCAAGCATAGAGGAGGCTAGAGAGGGGCAGAGGGAAGAGGAAGGAGAGAGCCAGGGTGAGAAAGGCCCGGAGCACAGCAGAGAGACGACAGCCTTCTGAGCGGGAGGCGGGCGCCGGAGCCAGGGATAGCATCAAAGGCCTGGGCGGGCCATGTGTGTGCTTGGCAGCCGATGACAGGGCCGAAGCACTCATTCCCAGCAGGCCCAGCCCCCAGGGGCCACCGCTCTGAGCCCTGATGCTTGGACAGATTGCTTATGCACGCCAAGCCTGGAATTGCAATCCCTGGGGGGCCACCGAGGTGGCGCCAGGGCTTTGGCATGGGGTGGCCATGACAGCTGGGCACCCCCCCACCCTGCTGGGCTGCAGCTGAGGCTGACAGGGCCTTGGGGCCAGCAAGGCCAGCTGCGCAGTGTCACCGGGCCTTGGGGCCAGACATCTGCCCAACACTGCTCGCCAGCCCCGCCCATGCCCACAAGACTCCCTAGGCTCTTTCAGTGGGGTGGCCCTGGACTCCTCCTGGGGTACTGGCAAGGTGGGTTGTCAAGGTTGGGGGCCGTTTGCGGGTAGAGTCAGGGCCTGGTCTGGCACCAGGATCTGTCTGTTGCCATGACTACAACACAGGCCTACATCTGGGGCCCAGCATCCCTGTATTCTCCACTGGAAACTTCACTGGTCTGTGGGAACTGAGCTTGCGATCTTGGCAGCGCAGACGCCCTCTGCTCTGGCCAGTGAATTAGCTTTTCCTTAGGAAACTATTCACTTTGTTCATTCACGGTGTCCCCCTGGGCTCCGGCGCCTTCTAAGACAGCCTGATGTCCCACAGTCAGAGCCCCACCCAACCACTGTTATTCAGTGTCCAGATACACAGACCTCGTGCTGTCCTATCAGTGTGGGAATGGCTGCGTTTTTGCAGCAGCAGCCACATTTCCTTACTGCTCGCTGCTGCCGCCCTGCCAGCCCCTGCCCACGCAACTCAGCGCCCAGGAGAGTCAGCTGCCCAGGGAAGGGTTCTCAGACTCAGCCTCCTACCAGGCCCTCTCCCTGGCCACAGGCCACTGCCTCTAAGGAGGACGAGGTAACACAATGCAAGCAGCCATACTCAGAGGAGCAGCCTGCATCTGAAGCCAGGCTCCATCTTGGTCCAGCTGCATGACTCCAGCAAAGTCCCTTAACGTCTCTGAACCTCAGATTTCACGTTATGAAAATGAAGATAGCAATTCCTGGCTTTCAATCTCACGGGGCCACTTTGAGAAACAAGAATGAAAATGCTTGGTAAACATAAATTGCTTTATTACCGTCATTTTCATCATCGTTGTTACCATGCTTTATTAGTTCCGACTAATAGAGAACTTGGAAACCCTGGTGGTGTGGTGGTTAAGTGCTACGGCTGCTAATCAAAAAGTCGGCAGTTCAAATCCACCAGGCGCTTCTTGGAAACTCTATGGGGCAGTTCTACTCTGTCGTATAGGGTTGCTATGAGTCAGAATCAACTCAACGGCAACAGGTTTGGTTTTTTTTAATGGAGAGCTCGGAGTCCCTCGGTGATGCAAACAGTTAACATGCTTGGCTGCTCCCCGAAAGGTTGGGGGTTTGAGTCTACCCAGAGGCACCTCGGAAGAAAGGCCTGGCAATCTACTTCCCAAAAAATCAGCCACCGAAAACTCTATGGAGCACAGTTCTACTCTGACACACGTGGGCCACCGTAAGTCAGAGTCCACTAGATGGCAACTGGTTTAGGTTTCAATGGAGGACTCTTCATACTTCCTTGCAGGCATCCCAGGGGCTGTTCCTGGTGCCGCTCCTGGCGGAGTCTTCTTTCCAGGTAATGTACATGGAACTTCCACACACCTGTTTGCAAATGTGTTCGTAAGAGCTGCAGGAGAAAGAACATTGACACTTCTACTTTAGAAGACCCACTGATCACCCCCACTTAAAAACACAGTGTATATGGCACTGTTTGACAGCTACCAAGAGCTTGCATCTTCTGAAAGCTACAACACAATGCTTGTGATGCTGTGGGGAGGTGGGTGTGGTCACACATTGCTGCCATCAGAAGGTCCATAGCCCCCCCAACCCTACTCTTGGGAATCCACTCTAAGGGAATCATCCAAAAGAAGAGAAAAAAGAACAGCCTGCAGCAAGGCTCATAGGAGTATTATTTGCAAAAATGTAAAACAAGATGTCCACCTGACTGCAGGGTGTGATTAAGTAAACTGTGAAATATTATGCAGCTTCTAAAAAGTGTGACTAGGCCATCTGTCCTACAGTATGGCCAACTGTTTCTGAAGTAAAAGTAACATAAAAAGGCTGACTGTGTGCAGATGGGAGTCCCTGGGTGGTGCAAATGATTAACACTCAGATGCTAACCAAAAGGTTGGAGGCCCAGAGGTGCTTGGGAAGAAAGGACTGGGGATCTACTTCCAAAAAATTAACTACCGAAAGCCCTATAGAGCACAGTTCTACTCCAACACACATGGGGTCACCATGACTCAGTGGCAGCTGGTAAACTGGTCATGTGCAGGTAAAGCCTGGGAGCCCCCCAAAAGACAATGGGCAGAGTGTTGGAGTAATGGCATCAGGGAGATCATTTTCTATTTTAATTTAGAAAAAAAAAAATCACATTTTAAAGTGGACTGAAAAATCACAAGTGATATTTTCAACATTTAACAAAGTACTGGGGTGTTTAGAACTACGTGGATGGGAGGGGAGCCAGCAGCACCCTCCTCACGTGCAGGCACGAACTGGCGCAGGGCTGTTAGCGTGGCATGACAGGTGAGGAAACAGGCTCACAGAGGATCAGACCTGCCCAGGTCAGGTAGCCAGGCAGTGAGCAGTGGGACCGCAAGTGGAGGGGGCTTGTCTTGGGGGGGCACTGATGGTTCTCTTCTCCCTCAACACAGGGGCTGGTCTCGGAGGCCTTGGAGTAGGAGGTGAGCTCAGAAGCCAAGCTTGGTTCCTCACTGAAAGGGTCCCCTGCTCTGCCTTCACCCTAGCCCACACACAGCCTCAGCAGCCCCGCAGGCCCCAGCAGCAAGGATCCCTCGTTTTTCAGACTGGGTGCCCCATGTGGGGAGACTGGTCCTAGAACCAGACCCACTGGCCCCCGGAGCCTCCACCCCAGCCTCTTCCCCAGGCGGCCCTGCCTTCTTTCATATATCTCTTTTGATCCTCAAAAACATGCCTTTGAAGCCGGCTGAGCAGGAATCATCGCCCCCTTTTGAGGCTGAGAATCTGAGGTTCAGAGAGTATAAACTGCAAATCAGCAGCCAGGCTGGGCTCCCCCTCCGCCCAAGCCTCTGGACACCGGGCTCCCAGAGGTGCCCCTTCTGAGTGGGAGGACCCTTCCTGACAGCCCTTTAGGACCAGAGGGCAGAGATCCCAAACGGCCCTTCCCTTGCGGGGCGGTACAGAGGAAGACAGCTGGCTGGGCCCCTCTTCACTGCTCTCTCTTCCCTCTGCAGCTTTGGGGCCTGGAGGCAAACCACCCAAGCCAGGTATGACCCAAGGCCTCAGAACAATGAGGGAAGGCCAGGAGGTGGGGGAGGGCCTACAGAGCTGTGAGCCCAGCATTGTGGTGGGAGGTGACGGGCAGCTCTCAGCAGGGCAGGCTTCCAGGGCCCGGGGCTTCCAGGGAAGGAGGTTGGAGGCAGCCTCATGACCTACCTTTGTGAGGATTCTCTGGCATCTGCCCTGCAAGTGCACGGGGCTCACACGCCAGCTGCCTGGAGACACTCCCCCCCGCATGGGATCTCCAAATGTCCCTGGTGCTCCAGTGGCCACCAAGCCTGTCAACTGCGTACTGGGACCCAGACACAGATGTGGCCCCAGATTCCACCCAGATGCCCCTGACACCTGGTCCCTGTCTAACCCAGACAGTGCTGACCTGGATGCCACTTTGAGCCCTGATCCTGCCCCCAGACTGAGCCCTGACCCCAAGCCCAAGCTGAGCTCTGCCCTGGCCCTGGATGGGCTTGCTTTCTGATCCCAGCCCCTTCCAGCTATGACCACCATGGGGTTATCCAGTGAAAAGGTGTGGCTGGTTCTGTCCTGGTTTCATCCATGGGCCCAGCTCTGCCACAGGGTCCACCACCGGCTCCCAGGAACACCCCCAGGAAAGAGGGAGGGCAGGTCCCCCCGGGAAAGACCCGCGGATGAGCAGCAGGTGGAGCAAATGGCATCTCTGTCCAGATTTATGGCCCCATCTGCATGAGATGCTCCACATGTGGCCTTGGCACCCCCACCCTGCACCGTGTCACCCTGGCTGTGAAGCCTGAGGCTCTTGGACAGTTTGGATGTCCAACAGCTCTTACAAAATCCTGATGCTCAACAATCCAAGTGCAAATGTATCTGCAAGACCCAGATTCCCCTTCCCCGAAAGCCTGCTGGGGTTGTGAAACACCAGGGCGGGGCCCAGACGAGGGGAGAGGCAGGGCAGGATGCTGGTGCCAGGGGATTCCTGGGGTCTGCCCAGGGCTTCTCCTCCCTGCCAGCACCTACATCCTGCCTTCTCGGAGCATGAGGGACTTTGGAGCCCTGGTAACACAGGGGTTAAGAGCTCGACTGCTAACCAAAAGGTCAGCAGTTCAGATCCACCAGGCACTCCTGGGAAACCCCATGGGGCAGTTCTACTCTGTCCTACAGGGTCACTATGAGTTGGAATCAACTTAGTGGCATCAGGTCTGGTGAATGGAGGAGGAGGGACATCAGGGGAAAGGCTGGCATGGGCAAAGGTCTGGAGGTGGTGCGCTCAGTCTAGAAGCCTCAGCTGGGGAGATCACACCAGCTCAGCCCCAGAGGGGGACTGATGGGTCCCACCTGCAGCAGGAGACATGGCAGGTTGGGCTTAAACACCAGGGGGAAGGCTGAGACCACTTCCTACAGAGCTCATGATGGACGGCTACTAAACTGGAGCGCTGCTAAAGTGGAGCTTTCATTAATGAAGGATCTAGGTTAGACTTTCCAAAGAACTTCCAGCTCAGGGTGAAGGAGTAGATCAAAAGGAAAGTGAGGGTGTCTCCTCCTATGTCCCCAAGGCTGGATCCCATGAGCTCCCTGAGGTCATCTTTCAGTCTCAGGATTCAGGGCTACAAAGGCCTTGGCAGGGCTGCATAGGGCCCTGGTGGAAGCTCTCTGATCCGGGCTGTGGGTACATCTGCACCTGTCCAAGTGGAATGGAATAGGGCACAGACAGCGTGTGTCATGCTTAGGAACAATTAATTCCTTGGCGGGTAGCGGGTGGGTGGCCTGGCAGCTGTTCCACGTGGGCCCCAGGAAGGTGGTGGGCCAGCCTGAACTGGCTCATGGGTAGGACTCAGCAGCTGGCAGCCTGCACACCGCACCCTGAGAACCCACTGCATGCCAGCCACCTACCCGAGAGGGGCGGGCAAGGACAGCAGGAGCAGGGAGCACCCACTGGGCAACTGCAAGCTGCACATGCTAGGCACCCCCCACTCACTAGCTCCCTGGTCCAGGGAGGTAGGGACATCGTGGCCATTCTGTAGATGGGGAAACTGAGCCTCAGGGAGATGGGACAGCAGGACTGACTCTGGACAGAAGGCGAGCTGGGCTGGCCAGGCCCCCCCTGGCTCCCAGCTGTGGTCGCTCCTCATCCTTTCCCCTCCTCTTCAGGTGCTGGACTCCTTGGGCCATTTGGGACAGGTGAGTCCAAAGGCCCTTTCCTGCCTCAGTAGGGGTGAGAGAGTGGGAAAAGGGCAGATGAGTGGAGGAGCTGCTTGGCCCCTGCAAGGGCCTGGACCTGGCAGAGGCCTGGCCTGACCTCCCACTCTACCCCTACCCAGCCTCTTCTCACTTCCTGTTCAGTTCTTCTCCTCTCTTCCCAGCACCTCTGTGGACAGGAAATGACCAAGTGTATCCCTTGCCCTCTTGGAGCTCAGGAAACAGGCTGGGCTGAAAGAAGCCGAAGCCGCTGCCAGTGCTGGGGAGGGGCAGGCCTGGAGCACCGGGAAGTGCAGGCAGGCACGCTGAGGCCTGGCCTGGCTACCACGCCACACCTGCCCGGGAGGGAGCCCCCTCTCGCAGAGGGGCTGACAGAGCTTCAGATGGGTCCAGGTCACACAAGTAGGAAATGGGAGGGTAGGGGGATGGAGGCCACACCCAGTGGAAGCCAGAGCTCAGCGACCCCCCATGTTTGGAGCCAGTCCCCAGAGAGGGTTTGCCCCTGGGGCCCGGGCACCTGGCAGCCCAGAGCTGGTGCTTGCACTAAAGAGGTTCACGTAATTGGAAACAAACCCAGCACAGTTGTGAACTCCAACCTGATTGCCCCTGGGTCCCCGGCCAAGGCCGAGGAATGTCTCCTGGAGGGGGAGAAGGCGCAACTGGGCCCAGATGTGGCAAGGTGCGAGCCAGAGGGAGTCATTTGGCTTCTCACAAACAAGTGAGCATCAGTCTGCGAGGGAGCAGGCTTCTGGAGTGCAGGGAGGCTGGACGGACGGACAGACACATAGCCTAGGCTGAGGAGTCAAGGTGGGGGACAGAGGAGCTCCCAGACACAGGGAGGGGGAGATGACTGAGTCAGGGGACACCTGCAAGGAAGCAGAAGACAGACCCGGGTCAGGGGTCTGGTGGGGTGGGCTCGGCTCCCAGCTCTACTCTTCCCTGTGCCGGCCCTGCCCTCGCACAAAGCCCTGCTGGGTCTCTGTTAGCATTCAGGGCTGCTGGCGGACCTTCTAGGAAAAACACAGGCTTGGCTTGGCCTGTTGTGGAAAGTCAACGCAATCACGTCTACATGGCACAGTGTAGCTGGTCATCAAAGGGTGGCTGCAGTTTTATCAAGATTGGCCCCCACATCCCAAAAGCTTGAGTTCAACTGAGTGGCTCCACACTGCCACAGCACTGCCAGGTTCCTGCCCCCACCCCAAGTGAGACCCTCCTCAGGCCCAGGAGTGATGCCCACCCCCTGGCCTCTCCTCACCCATCTCTGTCTCCTTCTCCTGCACGTGTCGGAGGGCTCGCAGGCGGTGGCATTGGAGCAGGTTAGACTTGGCACACAGACCAGATGCCCCTCTAGAGACCTAAGCCATGTCCAGCATGACGAAAGTCAGGATGCAGGGGTGGCGACCAGGCCCTGTCCTGGGCCTTGACATGCAGGCAACACTGCTGCCCCTGCCCTGAGCATCTGCCACAGGCATCAGGGAGTATTCCAGCTGGTGCCGGGAACCGTTATGATTACAGTGATGAAGGCTGGGTGGAGGGAGCCTTAGCTGGGGGAGCTCAGAGGAGCCACTCAGCTCAGGGATTCAAGGTGGCTTTCCGGAGGAAAGTGCAGAAGTCTGACCCCATAAGACCTGTGCATTTTGGTCCAGCTGAGCACAACAGTCAGGCCCACGCTGGTCTCCAACACAAAGCCTGGTCCTGATGTGCAGTGGTCGTTGCTGGGCGCTCATGTCCTGCTGAAGAGCCTGCAGCGTGCTTCCTGGGGCAGGGTGGGGCCAGGCTGGGGCCGCTCAGGACTTCACCCTGCCCCCTCTCCACAGGGCTAGGTGCCTTTCCAGGGGCTCTGGTGCCCGGCGGAGTAGCTGGTGCTGCTGCAGCCTATAAAGCTGCCAAGGCTGGTAAGTGGTACTCTTTGGGACACGCCATAAGCCCCCTGGCTTCCATGGTCTCCCCAGTTTGCAAAGAATCTTTCCTCAGCCCAGCCCTGGGAGGCAGGTGAGTGGGATCCTCATCTCCAATTACTGAGGTTAGGGGAAGTAAGGAGTCCCTGGATGGGGCAAGCGATCAACACGCTCAACTGCGACTGAAAGGTTGGTAAAGCCCATCAAGAGGCACCTCAGAAGAAAGGCCTGGCAATCTACCTCCAAAAAATCAGCCTTTGAAAACCCTATGGAGCACAGTTCTACTCTTGACACACACGGGGTCACCATGAGTCACAGTCAACTTGATGGCAACTGGCAGAGGGAGGCAAACTGGCTCTGCCCTGGCCCCATGCGAGCTGGTGGCAGGGTCAGACCTCAACGCTGGGCCCTCAACATGCAGCCAAGGGCCCCTCTGCCTCCCACACTGTTGCTTGCAAAACCTCAGTCCTCTCACTTCTGGCTCTGTAGGTGCTGGGCTTGGTGGTGTCGGCGGGCTTGGCGGAGTCGGTGGCATTGGTGGCTTAGGAGTGTCTCCAGGTATGGTGGCTAGACCTGAGTTTGCCCGGGCGAAGGCTGCAGGCCCAGGTGGAGCTGACCTTGATGTGGTCCCATCCATGACAGGTGCAGTGGTGCCTGGAGTGGGAGTTGGAGTCGGAGCCATAGGGAAGCCTGGGAAAGTGCCCGGTCAGTGTGGAGTCCCTGGGGCTGGAGGGCAAAGGTTAGGGAGGGTCAGGGGCCCCACCACCACACTGGGAGCAGAAAGTCAGGGCAGGGACAGTAGCCAGGCCCAAAGTATGGTGCCTGGGGTCTGTGAATTTGGGAGAAGGGGCCCAGGCCTTTCTCCCAGTATCCTGGAGGAGGAGACTTCAGAGACAAGCTCTGTGTCTGGGGTGACATCACAGGTGACAGATAGAGAAATGGAGGCTTAGGGTGGGGAGTCAGTGCTGAAGAGCCCAGAGCTAGTCACGGTGGAGCTGAGATGAGCCCCTACGGAACTGAGTCCAGGTTAAACAAAAGGCTGTCTGAGTCCACACAGCAGGAAGGGAACATCTGGAAGCTGTTACCCAGAGATGGGCTGGGCTGGCCATGTAAACAGGCTCCAGGAGACGGAGATAAATCCACACAGAGAAGGGTTTGCAGATGACTTCGGAAACTCAGGGAGGAGGGTTGCGGCTGCCCTACATCCGTCCTGGCTGCCCCATCGGCCCGTGGGCTGCTGGTCCCAGAGCCCTAGAGCTGCCTGGGTGGGAAGGGCTGGGATGGCTTCCTGGAAGCCTGGCTGCTGCTCACGGCTCCTCCTTTTGGCCACAGGTGTGGGGCTACCAGGTGTGTACCCAGGTGGAGTGCTCCCAGGCGCAGGTGAGGGCAAGGAGGGGAAGGGAGAAGAAAATCAGCCCGGCTCAGCCTCCCTGGTGCTCGGTCCAGCAGAGGCCAACAGAGGCCTGAGGTCCTGGCCAGTGCTGTTTCCCTAAGCTTCAAAGCACAGGCTAATGGACACATGGACACTGGCCTTGACCTCACAAGGGGCAGTCAGCTTGACACCCCCTCACCCCTCTGCTGACTCCAAGCCCAGCCCATTGTCATAGCCCGAGGCAGGTCCTGAGGATGTACTAAGTCCTCAGTGTGGTCAGCTCTTTCCCAAAAGCTGTGAGTCACCAGGGGGCTCCGCCAGCGTATTTGCCCTGCGGGAGCCCCTAGAGCTGCCCCTCATCCTCCTTTCCTACCAGGGCCTGGGCGTCCCGCCCAACATGTGACCTTCTGAATTCCCCCAAAAGCCCAGAGGCAGGCTGCTCTGCAGTCTTTGCTGAACAGACTGCCCCACCTCTGCCCTCCCAGGCCGCAGTGGCCCAGCCCCAGGGGAGATGGGAGAAGCAGGGGCCCAGGCACATGGAGAGTTCTGGGCAACATGTGTGCACGTGTGCGCTTGTGTGTATGTGTACGTGCGTGCGTGCGTGCGTGCGTGTGTGTGCATGCGTGCATGTACAGTTGGGAATGAATATTAAGTGATAGCACAGAAGTGCACAGGCTTCCCAGCCTGCAGGGAGCTTCCACCCTCTGAAATGCTTTCTCACTCTGCCTTCTTGGGTGAGAGTGCTCAGGGCGGAGTTTGTCACTGAGGCAGGCTGAGGTGTACGCTCAGTCTAGGAAATGGGATTCAAACTCAGATCTCTGACCCTGGGCCAGTCAAGGAAGGAAAGTCCCCACCTAAGGGATTTTCTCTTCACCCACCCAGTGGGCCTGGGCTAGGAGTCAGCTGTGTGACCCCAGGGAGCAGGCCGCTACGCTGGGCCTCAGTGCCTCCCTCTCTGCCCCCTCAGGCGCTCGGTTCCCTGGTTTGGGAGTGCTCCCTGGAGTTCCGACTGGAGCAGGAGTCAAGGCCAAGGCCCCAGGTATGCAGATGACCCAGGCTGGGGCCATGGTGGGAATCTCCACTTGCCCTCAGGGCCCACCCGGCCCCTCCCTCTGGTCTGGCATGGGAGGTGGGGGAATCCTGGGCCCTGGCCCTCTGGTGGCCGCCTCTTGGGCTGCAGCCCCGGTACAGGTGGAAATGGCAGAGCGTGCGTGAGGGCAGGGTGAGCCAGCATGGTCTGGGCAGAGCGGGCCACTTCTAGGCTGCCCACCCCTCGTGCAGCCCAGCACCAGCCAGGAGTGCCTCTGTGCCCAGCGCCACGGCCACGGCTGCAGTGACAGCTCCTTGTCATTGCAGGGGTAGCTGGAGCTTTTGCCGGAATCCCAGGTGAGCTGGGCTGGGTCCTTCCCGGTTGGGGGTGGCGGGCTAGCAGGGCGGCCAGCCAGGCAGGGGTTTTGGCCCTGGGAGGGGTTGGGCACCCAGAAACCCATCAAGGCCTGCCCCGCTTGCCTCACACTGCTGCTCCAGGCCTGGGAATAGCTTCAGCACAGAGCTGTGTCACCACAGACCTGCCTCCCTATCCCCTGCCCCTACCCGTGGGGCAGCCCAAATGAGCCCAGAAACCCCACCACCCAAAGGCTGCGAGGCTGCAGTCCCCTACTGGGGCCGAAGGCACGGGAGGGAGAGGGCCCTGCAGCTTCCCAGAGGAAGTGGCCTGTCAATGGGGTACGCTCAGCTGAGCGGTAGTGGAGAGGTGGGGACCTTCTGGGCAGCACATCTTCCGTGTGCAGTGGGAGCTGTCCTGACTGGGGCAGAAGGAGGAGTGTGAGGATGAGGACTTAGAGAGGCCCAAGGAGGGCGTTGGCTACAGCCCATGGTGCCAGGCCCTGATGCTGCTCTCTGTCCCACAGGGGTTGGACCATTTGGGGTCCAGAAGCCTGGGGTCCCACTGGGATACCCCATCAAGGCACCCAAGCTGCCAGGTAAGTCAAGGGGGTGGTGCAAGAGGTAGCACAGCTCCTCAGTCCTTACTGCTGAGGGGGGTCTGTTGGGCCACTGGTGTCTCTGGTGGGGCGGCCACCAGCAAAGGAAAATGAGGGAAAGTCAGTCCAGCAGGTGCTGGACTCCTACACAAATGCATGCACTTGCATACACACACATGCACAGACCCATAACCCTTAGGGGAAACCACTGGTGTGATGGTAAGAAGCATCACTCTTTGGAAAGACCCCTCTGATGTTAGCCGCCCCCATCAGCTCAGACAATGAGATGTTTGCTGTGGGGGTGGGGCATAAGGAAGACATGCAGGCTCTAGGCCACTCCTGGGCCTGGATTTGTAGGGGATGAGTGTCCCATTAGGCCCTGGGGCAGGGCTGTCCATGCCCTCTGCCCAAGGTCCCTGCTCTCCTGAGAGACTTGGGATCCTGAGGGGACCTACCTCAGGTCTTGGGGCAGCTGTGACCCTGCTTGGCGGGTGGGGGTGAGGGGAGAGGGGTACCTGTGGGGGTGGGTGTGTCCATATAGGTAGGCAGGGTCCCAGTGAGGTGGACCTGTCGTGGGGCAGCCCCTGAGCTGCCCTGCCCTCTTCCCAGGTGGCTACGGACTGCCCTATAGCACTGGAAAACTGCCCTATGGTAAGCCAGTCCCTCCTGGATGTTGTGGACCTCTGGGGACTTCCAGCTCCAGGACCTGGGCAAGGTGTTGTGGACCCTGCCCTGGGTTAGGAGACCGCTGAGCTGGGGGAGGGGGCGATTCTTGGAATGGGAATCCACTAAGGAAAGAAATGGAATTTGGACTCAGCCTGGTCCTCAATCCTGGCTCTCCCCTTATCACAAGGCCTTGGTGTCTTCATCTGTTAAATGGGAATAACAAACATTATCTGGCTGTAAAATGCCATACACATGTTTGTATTTGTTTGTACTTTGGCTGAAGGGGACAGGGTGAAGACTTGGGCCACCTGGCCCCTGAAGGGCAAGGCAGGGGAGGGCGGCAGAGGTGAGATCTGCCCAGATGATTGCTGAACCTCTCTCTCTGTGTTGTAGGCTATGGGCCTGGAGGAGTAGCTGGTGCAGGGGGCAAGGCCGTGTACCCGACAGGGACAGGTAAGGAAAGCCTCACCCCACTTCCAGACAAGCAGGTGCTTATCATCCAGGCTCTAGGCCCTGGGACTGGCCAGGATCTCTCCAGAAAGCAGGCCAGCCCACCATCCATCAGGTGGGGGCAGTTTTGTGAGCCTCTGCTTGCGATGAAGCCCCCACCTACACCCACATGTGAATGGGTGGGTTCTCTAGGGGCTGGAACAGGTGGTCTCTGGAGCTGCTGGAGCCCAGTTTTCGGTCTCCCCACTCCCCTCTCTTCCAGGGGTTGGCCCCCAGGTTGCAGCCGCAGCAGCTAAAGCAGCCAAATATGGTGAGTACATCTGGAGTCCCCACCTGCCAGCCCCCAGCCCCCATCCTCTCCATCACTATCACCACCGAGGGCCTGCCTCACAGACAGCTAACCCAGGCCACCCCTACCCCCATTTATCATCCAAAGCCAACTTTTTCAGCTCCACCCATCCATCCATCCATCCATCCATCCATCCCTCCATCCACCCACCCACCCACCCATCCATCC